GAGTCAATCAGTCAACCAACGAGTCAATCAGTCAACCAACGAGTCAAAGAACTGTTCCTGGGATGAACACAGGAACGTAGGTCCTTCGAGCTGAATCCGCTTTCAATCATGGTTGATTTGATTATGGTCTCAACTCCCAACTTTTCTGTTGGCCAACACCTCCCCCCACCACAACATCAAACAACCCACAATTCCCTCGTCTACCAAAATAGGTTGTCCTATTTGGAAAGACTGGACAACCTGGGCCAGAATCTGTTTAGGAAAAAAAAGAGAGGTGATCTAAAAGAGATAGGATTTATAATCATCTAGAAAGGAATAATTTGATTAAGGATAGTCAACACGGTTTTGTGAAGGGTAGGTCGTGCCTCACAAACCTTATTGAGTTCTTTGAGAAGGTGACCAAACAGGTGGATGAGGGTAAAGCTGTTGATGTGGTGTATATGGATTTCAGTAAAGCGTTTGATAAGGTTCCCCATGGTAGGCTATTGCAGAAAATACGGAGGCATGGGATTGAGGGTGATTTAGCGGTTTGGATCAGAAATTGGCTAGCTGTAAGAAGACAGAGGGTGGTGGTTGATGGGAAATGTTCATCCTGGAGTTCAGTTACTAGTGGTGTACCTCAAGGATCTGTTTTGGGGCCACTGCTGTTTGTCATTTTTATAAATGACCTGGATGAGGGCGTAGAAGGATGGGTTAGTAAATTTGCGGATGACACCAAAGTCGGTGGAGTTGTGGATAGTGCAGAAGGACGTTGCAGGTTACAGAGGGACATAGATAAGCTGCAGAGCTGGGCTGAGAGGTGGCAAATGGAGTTTAATGCGGAAAAGTGTGAGGTGATTCACTTTGGAAGGAGTAACAGGAATACAGAGTACTGGGCTAATGGTAAGATTCTTGGTAGTGTGGATGAGCAGAGAGATCTCGGTGTCCATGTGCATAGATCCCTGAAAGTTGCCACCCAGGTTGATAGGGTTGTTAAGAAGGCGTACGGTGTGTTAGGTTTTATTGGTAGAGGGATTGAGTTTCGGAGCCATGAGGTCATGTTGCAGCTGTACAAAACTCTGGTGCGGCCGCACTTGGAGTATTGCGTACAGTTCTGGTCACCGTGTTATAGGAAGGATGTGGAAGCATTGGAAAGGGTGCAGAGGAGATTTACCAGGATGTTGCCTGGTATGGAGGGAAGGTCTTATGAGGAAAGGCTGAGGGTCTTGAGGCTGTTTTCGTTAGAGAGAAGAAGGTTAAGAGGTGACTTAATAGAGACATACAAGATGATCAGAGGATTAGATAGGGTGGACAGTGGGAGCCTTTTTCCTCGGATGGTGATGGTTAGCATGAGGGGACATAGCTTTAAGTTGAGGGGTGATAGATATAGGACAGATGTCAGAGGTAGGTTCTTTACTCAGAGAGTAGTAAGGGCGTGGAATGCCCTGCCTGCAAAAATAGTAGACTCACCAACTTTAAGGGCATTTAAATGGTCATTGGATAAACATATGGATGATAATGGAATAGGTTAGGTTAGATGGGCTTCAGATTGGCTTCACAGGTCGGTGCAACATCGAGGGCCGAAGGGCCTGTACTGCGCTGTAATGTTCTATGTTCTAGTTCAACCGTTCAAGGTGCAGAGAGGACTCAACAGGAGAGACGCCTCCTCCTCTTATGGGAGAGACCAGAGCTAGAGCTAAAAATAAATCTAAGACAGAGATAAACAGAATGGCTTTTCTCTCTGTCACAGGTCTGCAGAATCATCTCGTCCTGAGAGGGTGTTGGAGGCTGAATATATTTAAAGACTTAGTCAGACAGACTTCGCTTCTGAAGAGGAGTCACATCAGACTCAAAACCTTAACTCTGTTTCTCTCACCACAGATGCTGCCAGACCTGCTGCGTTTCTCCGGCACTCTCTAGGCTTGCTTTAGATAGATCCTCAACTGACAAGGTTACTGGGAGACTAGAAAGTGCAGTCAAGACTTCAATCTGATCAGCCACAATCTTATTGAAGACTTGAGGGACTGAATGGCCTAATCCAGTTCCTAACTCACGTACTCGGATGTTAGCCCCCAACCCTCCTTGGCCTGAGCTTTCAACCCACCTAACCCAACAAGCTGGATTTTAAGACCAACCAGTGAGGACCAGGGGGAGAGAGGTATGGCTGGCACAATGGTGTGGGAGCAGCAGGTAGTACTGTTTTGCTGGTGGTCTGATAGCCCCACCATCCTGCAGCTGAATTGGTCGGTCAAAGAGTGGGGATGTCAATGTGGAGCCCACCTGAAGTCAGGGCTGTTTCCCACCTCCGGGTGTGTTCTCCCAACAGCTGAGACACCTTTGGGGGTCTCTTTGACCCCACTGAGGGTCCCCGGCAATATTGCCCACCCACGGCTAGAAGGCTACTAGTGAAGATTTGGTGGTGTTCCAACAGAATTGCACCCACGCATACATATCCCCTACAGGTCACCAACCACAGTGGACTGTACCACCCTCTGACTGGTATCGCTCGGCAGCATCTGCGGTGATAATGGAAATGGGTGGGCCAGGGGGAGAATGAGAAAGTCAAAACGATAAAGTTACACGGTTGCTCACTTGAAGTCTCCGTCCTTGTACTTGCCAAAAGCCTGGAGGATGACGGTGATAATGGCCATCAGCGGTTTCACCACACAGAACTGGAGGGTGGCCTGGAAGCAAAAGCAGATGCCATTCAGCCATCGCGAAGGGTTGAGGGCAGCCATCGCGAAGGGCAGGAGAATGAGGCGGGTGGGAGAAAACTACCAGGCAAGAACTTGCTGCTTCTGGCAATGACCTGGCAGCATGGAGGGTCAAGGTTCAAAGTGCAAATCGTACCTGTTTACAGAAGCGTAGAAATCCAATGGAGTACGTCTTCCCCCAGAGACAGCATGTACCGTACATACAGCTGGACCTACAGGAGAGTACGCTTAGTTAGTAATATTCCCAGCATCAGCTGCGAGAGATCTCGCTGGAAGTCTACATGCACAGATCACTGAAGGTGGTTGTTCAGGAAGGGACAGCAGTTAACGAAGCAGACAGTATCCCCCTGCTTTATTAATAGGGGCATAGATTGTGGACGTGTATTATATATAGATTATAGAGCATGGAGGTGGTGATAAAATTGTGCGAGATACTTGCTAGACCTCAGTAGCAGTACTGTCCACTGTGTGGGCATCGCATTATAAGAAAGATGTGAATGCATACGAGGGAGTACAGGAGCAATTTACAAGAACCCTTCCAGGAATGAGTAACTTCAGGAATGAGGATAGATTGAAGAAGTTAGGACAGTTCCATTGGAGAGAAGGCAGCTGAGAAGAGATTTGATAGAGGTTTTCAAAATTGAGAGGGTGCTGGATAGTGTAGACAGGGAGAACCTGTTCCCACTCAAAATAGAAAGAGCAGAAATTGACTTAAAAAGTGACCTGTAAATAAAGCAAGGGTGATGACAGAAAAAAAAACAAACAAACATTCTCCCACCCCCACCCCCACCCCGCCAACATCAAATGGTTAAAGAATGGCATGCACTGCCTGGAAATGGAGACAGGATCAATTGGGGTATTCAAAAGGGGCATTGGATCGTTATTTGGCAGAAATGGCACGCAGAGATATGGGGAAAAAGACAGGAGATTGGCACTAGGGGATAGAACTAGTGATGGCAAGATGGGCTGAATGGCAGCATTGTTGTGGAACAGAAGGATAAGATACTGCCAGGTCACATCTGCAGTATTGGGCATTTTTTAGTCATTTTCTTTGAACATTGCCGTTTAGCAGATTATAAAGCAAGACCAAGGGATAAAGGGTGACCTGGCCAACAGTGAACCATCATGCAGTTGGATAATGAGTCTTTCTACTTTCCAATTGGTGCAGGCAGACAATGTGACATAAGGATGGACATGTTGGTCAAATAATGGCTGGAGCACCGCGACATGTCAATGAAACCTCCAGGAATAGATTTAACCACATTCGGTGATCTTAGGTGGGATTGCCAGAACACAACACAACAAGGAACGTGGGAGACTTACTCGATGGACTTGCCTCGAATCTCCGACATTATAGCACTCTCTCCTCCCAGGTACTCATAACACAGGCTGAGGAAATTGTAGATCACGAAGGCTGCAAGAGAGCGCGTGTCAGTCAGAAAGCGACACTACAACAACATTCTACTACAAGCTAGGACCAGGACCCTGAGTTTAATCATAGAATCCCTACAGTATGGAAGCAGGACATTTCGCCCATCAAGTCCACACTGACCCTCCAAAGAGCATCCCAATCAGACCCACCACAGCCTGTAACCCTGCGTTTCCCATGGCTAATCCCTGGTAATTTAGCACGGCCAATCCACCCTAACCTGCACATTTTTAGACTGTGGGAGGAAACCAGAGCACCTGGACGGGATCCATGCAGACACAGGGAGAATATGAAAACTCCACACAGACAGTCACCCAAGGCTGGAATCGAACCCGGCTCCCTGGTGCTGCGAGGCAGCAGTGCTAACCACTGAGCCACCATGCCTCCTTATAAATCACACTATTTGAAAAAGTTGAATGCCTTTTCTTCTTCTCCCTTTCAAAACGAAGAGCAAAAAGCATTGAGTATCCAAACAAGTGCCAGCAAAACCAAACTGCCAGATAAATAAAACTTTTTGCTATTTGTACTCAGTCTTGGCCTATTTGTGACTCTAGTCTTGCACAAACATGGGTGAGCCCTTATCCTCCTCAGAAACTTGCAAGTAAACCATTCTGACAATTCAAAACCACTGCACCCTTTCTGGAGTTTCCACTGAAGTTTAGAAGAGTGAGACAAGATAATATTGAAGTATATAAAATTCTGAGGGAGATTGGACAGGCCAATGCAGAATGCTTCACTGCATGAGTGAGTCTAGAGCTGGGGGGCAGAGTTGCAAATTATAGCTGCTCCATTCGAGATGGAGACGAGGAGTAATTTCTTCTCTCAATCTTTGGAATTCTCTTCCGTCGAGAGTAGTGGAAGCATTTATTTTTTTAAAAATTCTTTTGTGGGATTTGGGTGTCACTAGCTAGACAAGCATTTATCCTGTGTCTGTGAGAGTTTCCTCTGGGTGCTCCAGTTTCCTCCCACAGTCTGAAGAGGTGCAGGTTAGGGGGGGTTTAGCTGTGCTAAATTACCCCATGGTGTCCAGGGATGTGCAGGTTAGCGGGGGGTTTAGCTGTGCTAAATTACCCCATGGTGTCCAGGGACGTGCAGGTTAGGGGGGGTTTAGCTGCGCTAAATTACCCCATGGTGTCCAGGGATGTGCAGGTTAAGTGGGTTAGTCACGGGAAATGAAGGATGAGGGTAAGGGGTGGGTCTGGATGGGATGCTCTTTGGAGAGTTAGTGCAGACTTAACAGGCTGAATGGCCTCTTTCTGTAGGAATTCTATGATTCTATTGCTTATCCCTGAAGACTCAGCCACACTGCCCTAGTGGTGTTAAATCGCTGGACTGCCAATCCAGAGACCCAGATAACTTCTAGGGACCCGAGTTCAAATCCCGCCACAGCAGATGGTGGAATTTGAATTCAATAAAAATATCTGGAATTAAGAATCTAATGATGGCCGTGAATCCATTGTTGATTGTTGGAAAAACCCATCTGGTTCACTAATGTCCTTTAGGGAAGGAAACTGCCATCCTTACCTAGTCTGGCCTACATGTGACTCCAGACCCACAGCAATGTGGTTGACACTTAACTGCCCTCTGGGCAATTAGGGATGGGGCAATAAATGCTGCCTGATCAGCGACGCCCTCATCCCGCGAATGAATAAAGGAAAAAAAATTACTGTGGGTCTGGAGTCACATGGAGGCCAGACCAGGTAAGGATGGCAGTTTCCTTCCCTGAAGGATAGTAGTGAACCAGATGGGTTTTTCCTTGGCAACTGGAAATAATAATTCCCAGATTATTATGAAATTCAAATTCCATGATGGGATTTGAACCCAGGTCCCCAGATCATTACCTTGGCCTGTGGACTAATAGTCTAGCAAGAATACCACTAGGTCATCTCCTCCCCTTGTATTTATTCAGAAGCTGGGATAGATGACAAGGGAGTCGAGGGTTATGGGAACTTGGAGCCGACAGCACAACCCGATCAGACATGACCTTAATCGACTGACAAAGAGCAGGTTGGGGGTGCTGAAGCAGCTCCCGTTTCCTATGTCCTTCCAGCTTTGATGGGGAAGAACTCTGGCCTCATTACACCACATCCAGGGAATTAGCATTTTGTTAAAAAAACCTACACTGATGACTTCAATTAGCCCTGGCCTTTTCAAGGCCTTTATAAAAACACAGTTCAGCTGGAAAGAGATGTGCGGACGGAGAGGGAGAGCGAGAGAGAGAGAGAGAGCGAGAGCGAGAGAGAAGGTTAGAGAGAGAGAGAGGGAGAGAGAGAGAGAGAGAGAGAGAGTTAGACAGTGTTAGAGAGAGAGAGAGAGTTAGAGAGTGTTAGAGAGAGAGTGTTAGAGAGAGAGAGAGAGAGA